GCTACATATTAGAGAATAATAGTACATTCATTGCATGATTTGTTAAAAGGACATAGGGTTATATCCTTTAAATGTTATATTAAACTTTTTTTTTTGTATTTTATGTATATGCTGCTTTGTCCAGTTTGGATTCAGGATAACTTGTGAACCAAAGATTTGACAGTGTAGATACTACGGTATGACTTTCTATTACAATATAACTTTGCAATATAACTTCTTATATCTTTAATATAACAAAAAAATGCTATACAGATAAATATGACTTCAAGGCAGGAGCATGAGTCAGTATTGTGCGTTTAATCGAATGGCCTGTAGAGGACCGTCTGTTTCTCACTTGGTCATTTTATATACTGCATAAGCATATAATCATATACATGCATACCATTTGCATTCCACTGTAAATTGTAAGAAGCGCAGGTTCCTGAGATCTGCATATTGTTCTGTGAAATAAATTGCGGTGCAGCTGTAGTTAATAGCTAATCAATAGAAAGTGATTCTGCTCAAAAAAGCTGTATTGAATCTTGTGATTCGCAAGTAAAATAAGGGTGAAAAAAGGATGTAAAAAATAAACATGTCCTGCTGTGCATAGCCAGATGCATTTGCAAAGAAGGAATGGAAGGTAGATTTGTGTAGGTGAGTATTGCAGTGTTAGAAATGCATGGAATCACCCTGGAGGCGTTACCAGGGAGATCCTGATGATGCAGTAGGTCTTAAAAAAGCACAGGGCAGAAAAAACAGTCAGCAGAATTTTCTCATTGCTGGGTGAGAAAGAGATCACTCCATAACATGGCTGTAATTTATCCTCTGATTGGCTGCCTGTGCTTTGTCAGACAGGGGCAGCCAGTGTGGAGTGCTCTGATTGGCTGAGGCACAGCTGCAGTGAGGTTGCAGCTTTTTTCACTGCATCACTTTTTGCCGGCTCTGTGATGCAGCCAACCTGCAGCAGCTTGTAGATGCCAAGAAATACTAGCGCTTAAAACATGGAATCACTTTTAAAAACAGATTCATTGTGAGGATTTCAGCTTCTTCCAGTTAAGTTGTCTTTTTTTCATGTTTTAAGCTACTGTGCAGTGTGTCATAGTTGTGGAGTGATGTCACTTGAAGAGTGAATGACTTTTTCTTCATCTTTTTGTGTGTTGTTGCGCTCAACCTTCATGTTTTGGGAAAGTTACCTGGACGGTTTGTTTTGGAAAAATGCTCTTAAGTTTGCAATGATTTTGAGGCGATTATGAGAGCGGGTTAATTGGAACTGGTCATTCACTGCATTTCAAAGTTTTTTGGCTTGGTCACCGGGTTACTGCGGAAACGTTGTTGGATATGCCAGTAAGCTTTGGAAATTGTGTGGCAGTGTCCCCATCTGCCCTCATCCTCCTGGCCTCACATATGACTGCCTGAGCAGTTTCTCTCTATAAGCACATACAACATCTGTAGACGTAGTTCTTGAGAAGACCAAGTCAAAACTCAAGTACACAAACAGACTTGGAGCATCTTTATGAAGATGCTCAAGGAACTTTGGTCATCCCTGTCCCAGTGGCTTCTGGGAGTAACAGCGTGCCAACATGATACCGCAGGGCCACCTGATGGACTAAAGGAACGAAACTTAGAAAATGCTGCAAAAAAGGAAGGCCAGAGGGAACCGGACACAAAGGCAGATTCAGTCGGTCAAGAAAAGAGCACAGTATCTCCAAAGAAAACTACAGTGCTGATTATGGTGGCGCCTCCTAAGGATCTTCAGCAGGTATTGCAAAGAGAATTGCCACATTAAACAGAAACATTTGTTGAAAGGCTTTAAAGTTGCTTATGCATTGATATTTTTACGTTTTGGTTTCTGAGAGGAATACAATAACAACTGAACTGCTGCACTTTATTTCATATTTTGATTCTTGAAGTCTTTTCAACTTAGAGCTTCCAAAGACTATAGAATACCCAGGACATGTCACTCGTATAGTTTTGAATGGGGAAAAATGCAACGCTCAATATGGCCACTCAATCGCAGGAAGCCCCGCCTTCTGAATGAAGGAGCCAATCGCTAATAGGTAAAGTCAGAGCGTCACTGCAGCTGCCGTTAGTCAACAGTCAGCGTTCTGAGACGTGCGCTCAGGACTGTACATGCGCACTGGCTGATCTAGCCTGAATTATAAGCTTTTTATAACTCTATTTGAGCAATATAAACAACATTTATGACACAGTTGATATCAGATTTCTTTGGTGATTTCAAATATGAAATTTAATCGCAAGCTTAGTGAACAGTTTTGTAGAATTTGATGTTTCCCCATTCAAAGAGATAGGAGTTGCACTTGCATGCCCGAGAGGCGTTTCAAAGATGACCGCCGAGTGACATGACTTGTCTTAAAGGAACTTTGGATCTTCCAAAACTGAGCTATGAGTGATATTTCACATCTCATTATTTGCATATGGAAAATGAGTGAAATGCAAATATTTTTAATCAAATTGGCTTCATGTGATCTAGGCGTCTGAGAAAGGCCTATTTTAGTCAAATAATTTAAGATATTACAACAGATATCTGCACATGATCTGAAATTGAATCATTAGGAGTCAGTATGGTGGTTAAAAAGAAGGAAAAGTTCTATAATCCCATTTGTTTGTGTTTTTGTTATATACTCTCAGAATAAAATGGTACTAAAGCTGTCACTGGGTCGTTACTTTTTCAAAAGGTGCACTTTTGTATCTTATTGACCTCTTAAGGGTGAATAGACAGACAAACAGCAGATAGTCAGCAATGAATTTTTTTTAGACTTCTGCAAATTAGACATGTCCCACGCGTTTGAACGTTTCTCTCTCCTCCCCCAAACTGTTGCTTCACATCTTTAGTGGGTTGCAGACAGTCTTGCTCTCTAAATATTATTATTGTATAGTCAGGCCCTATGTCGGAAACCTGGTCAGACTCATTAGGGAATGATCACATGCTAGTGACAGGATTAGACCGCTTTACATTGTGAATAATTAGATTCAGTTATCTGTTATCTAGGGACAAACAGGATTAATCACATACTGAGCGGTATAACTGTTGTTGTTTCATGTTTTATCCTAACCACCAATTTCACTAATTAGTTGTTGCTGAATTGACCCTTTGCTAAGACCTTGGTTACTGTTGCTAGATTTGACAAGCTTTACTTAATGTCCCATAGGACTGCATTGGAGATTTTTATGAGTGGCACAATTTTTGCATTGAAAGTGGTAAGTAATGTTATGGGAGCTGAAATTTCACAATTTATTTTTCTTTTCTCTTTAATAAAAGGTTGAATTAGATGAGTTATCTTTTTTTAAGTAGTCAAATAAGATGCTGTGTGCTTTCCTTATTTTAATAATATGAATATTCCAGAAACCTGCAGTTGTATGGCTGTCAATCTTTAAGACAGATACTTCGGTAAACTTGTAAGAAGGTGATTCTGTATATGACGTGAGCCAATTGCATAGCAGTGTTCGCAGTACAAGCCTCGAAACGGGAGGGATTTATACGTCCCCCAATCGCATGGGACAGAAATATCAGCGTTACGGTCTTGATAGCTTCAAGAACAGACGAGAGCCGTGTACATATGTTTCTTTCTTACATTGCCTTCAAGTTTTTAGTTTTATTGATTTATAAAAAAAATTTATATTTTATTTAATTTCAGATTTATTTCAGTTTATTAAAAATTATTGTTAATAGTGTTAGGTTGCTTTTGGTTAACAACACTGGTCTCAAATGTAATCCGTGGGTTGTGTGATTTAAAGAAATTGAAGAAAATCAGTGTTGTTTTAGATGGTCAAAAAGTTCTTGTGAACCAAGAGCTCTGTGTTCTGCCTGTTCATGTCAGAACTTGTAATGGGATGAATCCATTTAATCCAGATTATTTGACTTCCGTGTTTGAACTGCTTTCAGAATCCCTTCCTGTGTCCTTCACAGAGTTAGAGCTCACTTTCATTTTTATGCCTAAATGACTTGGACATCAAGTGACTTTTTTTTATTTTATTTTTTTTGCAGAAAATGCCAATAAGTAGTAATTGTAAACCAAAACAACTTTAATATGTACACTATAAAATGTAGTATTCAGATTGTAAGTATTTCTTTCTGTCTTTCTTCGGATTCTTCAGATTTGTAATATTTGAAAATAACTGCATTGTCAACTTCAGAAGGTTAACAATGTTCTCTGACCCACTTGTCTGCAGTTGAGTCATTGTTGCATCCGGATTAAGTGTGAGAAGATGGCGACGGCTATCTTTAACCTGCTTTACACTTGCAGGGCCATTTGAGACTTGGCTGGAAGCCTGTGATCTTGACGGTCTGAAAGGATGCACACTGGACTATCAGGCATGATCGAGTTCTGCCGATTGTGAATGGCTTCTGAGCACATTTAATCAAAGCCATTTCTGTTGAATGATGGTCAATGAATAGATTCGTTATTATTATTCATATAAATCCATAATAATTATTGTTATATATAAAATAAATGTAACTTTTACTTTTTGTTTTGTTTAAAATACTTTTTTTGTTAACATGGCTTCTTGGTGGTATAGATTGATGGCACAGGGCCCATAAAAAGCACTTTGTTTATGGATTATATGGGCTCGTGACTGGATTTTAAGCTATTGTAGCTCATGTAGTTGTGAATTTTAGTTTATTAAGACACTTTTTCTTTGTTTTTACTAAGGTGTTATTATGCACACATCCATAATCTCATAATGGACAGCAACATAAAACAAATGATCTGACTCAGTGATCTGGTTTTCAGTAGCAACTTTACGAAATGCTGATGTCACTGGGTGGGGTGTTCAGTTTAGTTTTTTTGCTCGAGGTTGAAAAAGTGCAGTAGTGGACAGACCAGTAATTTTGTCACACACTGTCAGAGCAACATCAGCCAGGAATCACGCTATGGGCCTGATTTGCTATTAAAACTGGAAACACATTTGCTTTGTTTCTGTCTTTCCAGAACACTTCAGGTTAATGATTAATTCATCTTCTCCATCCCTTTCCATTAGCTTCAATTATACACTGCTCAATGGTTCAGACAGCTTATGTCCTAAAGGTCAAGCGTTGTCAGGGTGGGCTTCATAAAGCTGATGCTCATGAGAATGTTCAGCATGGTCCTATCAATACTCTCTTCAACAAACAAAGGCCATATGTCTGTCCCTAGTGGCCCATTAGCTCAACACCCTGAACGGCAGCAGCTCACTGACCTCAAAAATGACCTGGCTTGATTCTGTCCTCAGGTTTTGATGTTGATTCCAGCGTGTATGTGTTTCAGAAAATCGTCAAGGCTGGAGACAAAGACTTGGATGGTCAGTTGGACTTTGAGGAGTTTGTGCACTACCTGAGGGACCATGAGAAGAAACTGAGGCTGGTCTTCAAGAGCCTTGACAAAAAGAACGATGGTAAGTATGTTAGTAGTGTATTGGTGAACTATTACGAGCGTTGTCTTGAATTATAGATGTTTTAGTCTCTTTAATGCTCATTTTGTCGTCTTTCTTTTTGTCTTATGTCATATGAAGTCATATTAAGGCTACCTTTGACTCCCTAGTTGAGAACCACTGTTTTAGATGTTAAAATCACGTTTCCTTTTAAAACTGCAGGTCGCATAGATTCACAGGAGATCATGCAGTCACTAAGAGACCTCGGGGTTCATATATCTGAGGAACAGGCTGAAAAGATCCTCAAGAGGTAATTTGTTTTATTGATCGTATCTGTCCAACCCCCTTCATTCTCTTTAGCCTTTTATTCGCAGCTAATAATTCAGACCTGACTGGGAACCCTCGCCTCAAAACAGCACGTGTTATACAACACGTCTCCTGGTTCTGATTTTTCAGCATGTTTATTTGACGTTCTTTGACGAGCCAATACCCAAGAGTTTTTTAGAGCTAATTTTAGAGCTCCTAAAAGAAACCAGAATCACATATACAAACTAATTGCTATTTTTTATTTTCTGTCTGTGTGTATGTGTGTAAATGGTTGTACGCGTTCTGTCTCTGTTTCTTTATCACTCTCTCCTTCTTGTGATCCCACCCCCACTCTCTCTCTCTCTGCTCATCTTATCAGAATAAGGAGGGGTTATATATGTGCCCCTATAATGTAGTAAGTAGTGGTCTTATCCCTGCATGTTTGCCTTGCTCTGCTTTTTCATTTCATCTGCCGTTTCATCTGTGCCGTTTTCATTTAGCATTTTTAAAGGTAATTTTTTCTCTCTCTCTCTTAGTAGCTATTTTGTCTCATGTGGGTAGTGCTTTGGAAATATTAAGTAAGCTAATGATGCCTATATTTTAGGATTTTTTGACAAATAACGAAACTCTTAGCAGAAGAAAGCTTTCGTAAATTATTAAAGAAGAATTCTAAATGCGATAGATCTGAAATGCTGAAACCAGGGACATTTTTGCATGTGAATCATTTTTATTTTCTAGCTGCTTGACTGTACATGATTAATTTCAGGAGAGGTTTTGCAAATCTAAGTCGTTTTTTATGGAAGTGTGTATACATTTTAGAAAGTGTAAGCTGGTCTTTTTTTTTAAAATAAGAAGCTGCTACCCAAAGCCAAAGAAGTCCCTGACATATTTAGTTTTGGTCTCTTTTTGTCTTTTAATTTGAACAGTATGGATAAAAAAGGTACGATGACGATTAATTGGAATGAATGGAGAGATTACCATCTGCTTCATCCTGCTGACAACATTCCTGAAATCATCCTCTACTGGAAACACTCTACGGTAAACCTAAACCACACCATCCTGCCATGTGCCTTACAGTTCAAAGTTTCCAGCTTTGCTTTTAGTGCCAACTTTCTCTCATTGAGGGGGTTATGGTGCTTTTTACAGTCTTTGTATTCTGTGTAAATTGCATTCACCACACATCTCATTTAAACTGATGATGTGCTGCCACCTCAGTCATTCAGTCCTTCTAAGCCCACTTAGTTAAATTTGTTTCCTTGCACTTGAAATACTCCTGAATGGGACAAACGGGGGTCACTGTCTGATCCTGTTAAACAGATCAACGGTGCTCTGACGTCACTGACTTGACCTTTTTGAGCCAGGAGAGGTAGATGTGTCCACCTCATGGATTATTCTAACACTGTGTCCCCAGGTGAACAGATAAATCACACTTATATTTTTCACAGAAGAGTAATTTCACTTTGATTTAAAAATTACATTTCTTTAAATTCATTATTCATAATTACAGTTTCTGTATTTTGAGGATCAAAAAAATGAAATACAGCCACCCAAAACCAATGAAGATCAATTTAACGTCATATTAAAACTGGATGATAGAAAAAGGACTGAACTAAATGTATAAATATCCATGGAAAAGAGTAAGACAGATACCTCTCATCTTTTAGTATGCACTAATCTCGAGATTCTGTAGCACAGAAACGCAAGAATAATTTTTCTAGTCCTATTGATGGATCATCTAACTGGTTGATTGTCCATTCATTAAATTCTCTTGTGCATGTAATCTCACTCCACATGATGTCGTGTCCTCTGTGCAGATATTTGATGTAGGGGAAAGTATGTTGGTCCCTGATGAGTTTACGGCAGAGGAGAAGAAAACGGGGATGTTGTGGCGACACCTGGTAGCAGGAGGTGGAGCTGGTGCAGTGTCCCGTACTTGCACCGCACCCCTGGACCGCCTTAAGGTTCTCATGCAGGTATGAGACCCCCTGACGCTACCTATACAGTATAGCACACATCATATGATCAATGAATAATACACAGTTAAGTTTGGAAACCTACATTATATTTTTTTTAGATTTATATTATATTAGGGTAGACATATATTACTTTATACAATTATATTTTATACATATTAAGATGTATGTTATTTATATGTGAAATATTTTTACAGGTTAAAATAACTTTATTCTATTTGAATATTCAAAATGTAGTTTATTCCTGTGAGGGCAAAGCTCAATTTTCAGCAGCCATTACTCCAGTCTTCAGTGTCACATGATCCTTCATGCTGATTTGGTGCTCAAGTAACATTTCTTATTAACATTATTAATGTCTAAATTGACACTTTTGATCAAGTTCACGTCACAGCATTTGTTTCATGAGAACCATCTAGGCTTGTGAGCTAAAATCCTAGTGTTAGTGAGATCCCATGTCACCAGTGTGCTGCTTATGAAGGGACTGCATCTTCGATTGCTTTAGGGACACTGCTACTGTAGTAAGTGTACTGTTGAGTCACTATGGTACATGATGTTCTGTTCTTTGGATGAGTGTCTCGGTGGATGACCATGCACATTATGAAATGCCTTAGTGAGGCTAGTTTCAGTTTGGTGGATCTTAAAATTCTACATTTTTAAATTCTTCAGTGTATGAATGTATAAGACTATACAGGACATTGTAGCTTAGCTACCCTTAAAGCTTACCTTACCTGAAGTAAACTTACATTAAAATGCTTAAATGAAATAATTTACAAGCAAATTGAGACATTTCACCACTGCAATGGTGTTGGCAGGTTCATGCGTCACGCAGCAACTTCATGGGCATCGCCGGAGGATTCGCCCAAATGATCCGTGAGGGTGGACTTCGGTCGCTGTGGCGAGGGAACGGTATCAACGTTTTGAAGATCGCGCCTGAATCTGCTATCAAGTTCATGGCGTATGAGCAGGTAGCTTGTTGTTGGAATCTTTCGGCAATTACAAAATCGGAGAACTATAATCCTGGATGTTTAAAATAATGCAGTGTTAATATATTTATCCACAATGTTTAAAAAAAACTTTTGAAGAAACAGTTGCTTTTCTTTTGTTGATCTTTTTATGTGATTAAATCAACTTTTTTAACCCTTTAAACCGGACACCTCCCGCACGAAAAAAATCATAATCAAATTACTAAGCAACCATGCTAAATGGAATAACACTATGGAAATATGTATCATTTTAAAGGTTAGAATCTCAGCTTTTTAAAGAATGTAATTATTTGGATCAACTCTTAACGAGTGCTGAGCAGTCTCTCTAAAACGAAGTGTACCGCGGGCGGGGCGCCCCCCCTCTGTGAAAATATTACTAATCATATTTTTCAAACCACTGCCTTGATCAACAACAAATGGATATCATTTGAAAGTCTGAGCTTTACAATGCATGTAGCCACTTTGATGAACTCCAAAGTAGTGCCGAGTTATTTGCTGATAAATGACAAAAAAAAACTTTTTTTGTGCCATGTACTCTAATATGTCAGAAACATCATACAGCTCAGATAGTCATGTGTCATATGTCATTTGAAAGGTCTCATGAAGTAGAATAAAACAAGCATAATTGTTTGGGGCTTTGAATAAACTTTAAGGCATTACTTTACTAATTCAAAACTGTAAAGGGCTAAGAGACGGGCTACCTTGGTTCCAAATGCTGTAACTTTTGATTACTTCATGATATCACCACAAAATTGAATTCACATACAGCAGACATGTTGGGGAAAAATTATTTTCCTTCTACTTTATTTCTGTCCTTAGATATTGACATTGACTCTAACTTTTTTTTTTTTTCTAATTGGTAGATAGATGCATTTTCTCAGTCCTGTTGCCAAAATCTTAAGTGTCTTAAAAAGCATGTTTAAAAACTTGTCAACTAATTTCTTTGTTTTCCCTTTTAAGAAAGTGTTTATTTTAAAGAAATGATTGGTTACATGTTCAAATAATTTGTATTTATGACAAAGAAAAATCTATATATGCACACAATGTGTATTTAAAAAAATTCAAGCCATTTTTCCTTTTAAAGGCGACTCAAACTCAGACTCAAAGTTTATTTTTTTATAATAATTTGTTAAAAGGATGAATTTGGATAAATTTACTTAATTTACAATCACACAATTAAATGCATAAGCTTTCAGCAGAATTTAAACAGTAAACATGTTTCTTATGGGATTTTTAAAATTATTTTACTTGCAACATTCTTTCAGCATTCTTACTTTCAAAGTAATTGGTCGTTTGTAGGTATACTTGAATAAACTCAAATTTAAAGATCATTTTGAAAAGTTGAATCGACTCTCTGACTCATACCGTGTTCAGTTTATCGAACAGAACTGTCATTTTGAATAATTCTGAATCTGTTTTTAAATCTTGAATCAATTCACTGTTAGTTTACCCCTAATTACTATAATGCCGCATCAGTAATATTTAATGCGTCAAAAATGATTAAGCTTTGCACTGAATTGATCCCTGATGTGAAGTGAATCGTCTCAGTAAATGGGAAGGACAGAGACTCAGCAGCAGACTAATCACATGACAGCGGTTAGCTTTCTGAGGAAGTCAAGTCATTCATATGTGCCTAAGGGGAGTTCCCAAATGACTCCCGCAAACTAAATAAGCCTTGACAGTAGTTTTCTGTTATTTTGCCAATTATATGCAACTCCAGTGATATTTTCATTGTACAAACCACACACTGATCACGAGTTGCAAGCAGTGAAAACAGGATCCGGACTCCTCAAAGGAGAGGAGTCGACTCGACTCAAGGTTTGTTGTCAGAGCATTAATGTTTTAGTAGGAAAAGATGTTATCATTCGAGGAAGCTAAAGCGAGGTTAGAAACTGCAGGACAGGCCCATGTTTTACAATTTTGGGCTGAACTTTCTGCGGAAGAAAGCAATACGCTTCTGGAGGAGATATCTAAACTCCAGCCCGACGAGTTACTCGAGCACTGCCGAGCAGCTGCTGAGGCTGCAAGCCGACACTCGAGTGCTGACGGTCGGCTAGACGCGCGGATGAAGCCCGTTCCTCCAGAGTTCATCGGAAGTGTGCGTAAAAGTGACAAAGAAACGCTTCAGATATGGGGTGATGAAGGTACAGCTCCAAGGTTCAAAATAATATACAACAAAATAGCCATTTTTACAATGTGGTTAAAAGTAACATTGCATATATTGAAGAGTACATAAAAGACTCCTGCCTTCAGGGTTACTGCAGATTTCACAGGACAGAGTGGCTGTTTTGCTGTTAGCCGGTGGTCAGGGGACTCGGCTTGGAGTGCCATATCCCAAGGGCATGTACAATGTTGGGCTTCCAAGTGGGAAAACCCTGTACCAGATCCAAGCTGAGCGTATCCAGAAGTTGCAAAAGCTGGCCAATGTGAAGCATGGTAGTAGGTGCACAATACCATGGTATGGCTCTTTATTTGCAATTCAAATGAGGGTCTTTCTGAGAACTAGAACTAGAATCATTTTTATAGACCAGCAAATGTAATTTCCACCACATTTCAAAAGACGCTGTGTAGCATTCTGTGGTGGAAATAGAATTTTCTATATATATCCTTTTTAGGTCGTAGTTCAAAAATGTAATAATTCATGTTTCTATTAATCATTTTCATATTTGTTTCCAGTTTGAAAGTCTGGGTCTGGGACATAAAAGTGCTTGTAGTTGAAGAAGTGTTCATGAATGAATTCATAAATAACCCCCAAATGACAGAAGAACATGTATTTAATTCACTTGTGATGATATTTGAACAGGTACATAATGACTAGTGAGTTCACTCTGGGACCCACAGAGAAGTTCTTCAAAGACAATGAATATTTTGGTCTTTGTCCATCCAACGTAGTCATGTTTGAGCAGAGAATGATACCAGCTGTAGGCTTTGATGGAAAGATCATCCTGGAGAAGAAGAACAAAATAGCCATGGCACCAGGTCAGAGAGAATTTGTTTGGCTTTAGAAGGAAAAATAATTTAGCTTTGCTTTCATTAGCTATTTGTTAGAGGTAGTTCATAAATTATTAAAATTAATTAGATTTTTTAAATTTATGTTTTCATCAGCTATATGACGACAGACAGATCTTTATTAATGTCTTTTTTTTTTTACTTCATTCACTAAAACCAATTAATGTTTGCATCTCATTTCTATGTTCACTTCAGATGGAAATGGCGGCCTCTATCGTGCTTTAGTGGACAACAAGATTTTAGAGGACATGGAGAGAAGGGGTGTGGAGTATCTTCACGTGTACTGTGTGGACAACATCTTGGTGAAGATAGCAGACCCAGTCTTTATTGGCTTTTGTGTAATCAAAGGAGCAGACTGTGGTGCCAAGGTAAAAATATCCTGTCTTTAGGCCTGAATCAGATCCCATTCATCATTGTTTACCATTATTAATTGATTATTATTTATTGCTTTAATTAGCTGTGTTTACCTATATTCTGCTCAGGTGGTGGATAAGGCGTATCCTGCAGAGCCTGTTGGAGTGGTGTGTCGTGTGGACGGCCTGTATCAGGTGATTGAGTACAGTGAGATCCAACCAGAGACTGCAGAGCTACGAGGCCCAGGAGGAGAGCTCCTGTTCAGTGCTGGGAACATCTGCAACCACTTCTTTACCCAAGACTTCTTAAAGGACGTGGCTGAGTATGTGGTTGACATATTGTTATAATATACAATCCCACTTTCTTATGCGTTTCTTAAGTCAACTTTTCATTGTCCATAAAGGGCATTTTTTGCTACAATATATTATAATCATGCTCTGTTGTACTATAATAGAACTAATAAAACAATAAACAAACTAATAACATTTTGGTGAAGATGGCATTATATTACCAAGGAATAGGAGCCCAGTAGGACCCCTAATCAAGACTTGCACACTGCATCCCAATTGAATACTTCTCTACTATATAGTATGCAGAAGACAGTATTTCGAAAGAGTAGTATGTCCAAATTCATAGTATTCAAAAAAACGAAACAAAAAGTACCTGCATCAAGTGCACACTCAGTGGACACTTTACTAGCCCATGAGGCAGTAGGAGAGAATTTATTAATGCATCTGTTAAAGAATTAGCAACATATGGACTCATGCTAATCTGTAAACAAAGCCCATTGTACAAACCAATTCCTATTTCAATGCATTTTCCCTGCAGAAAGTTTGAGAGTCAGCTGAAGCAGCATGTGGCAATCAAGAAAGTGCCATTTGTGGATGGAGAAGGGAACCTGGTGAAATCAACCAAGCCCAATGGCATCAAAATGGAGAAATTTGTCTTTGACGTCTTTCAGTTCTCAAAGTATGTTTTACAGCTACAGTTGGCTAATTGGGGTATCGCCATCTTCCTCACCATCATGTTTTTTTGCAGGAAATTTGTCGCCTTTGAGGTGTTGAGAGAGGAGGAATTCTCACCCCTAAAAAATGCTGATGGGGCGCCTTTGGATACACCGACTACAGCACGCCGTTCCTTGTTAGCACAACATTACCGCTGGGCTCTGGCAGCTGGTGGAAACTTCCTGGATGAGCAGGATAAACCCATCCCCCCAAAACATAGGTGGTAACATAAAATACCCTTTATTAAATCAGTAGAAAAATATTAAGTCATATCAAGTAAATAAGTATCATGTTTTACCAGAGATTGTTTTGGTTAAAAGTGTCTTCTTAATGACTTAATGTACAGTAAATGCTATATTGCAAGGTTCCTCAAGTATTATAGTTATACTACACCAGATGTTGAGCAGGATATGGTCTAGAAATGTCCATTCTTGTGATGAGTGCAATACCTTTTGACTGGCATGACCTGAAAGGAATATGCCTAAAAGGAATTTACTCATTCAAGCAGAAAATGAACAATTTTGACTTCCTCAGATGGTGTGTGGTTTATAATAACTTGGTCTACTCTTTCTTTTGCAGTATGACACAGAATGAAGACCCCCCTGCAATCTGTGAAATCTCTCCACTTGTATCATACTTTGGCGAGGTAAAAATGTGACTACTTGTATGCAATTTTTAAAGCTTTGCTTTAAACTGGAGTTGCTAATACTGATGAACAGTCTGGTTTTAGGATTTTAGGTTAACATCTTTATCACAAAAGTTAAATATTTGAGTCTCGCATATAGTTCTTTTATTACAAAATATTACAGTTAGTACAAAAAGAGGCAAGAGGACCAGAGGGAAAAAAGAATAACAAGCAAGTGTGACCATATGGAGCATGATGTGAAACAGAGCGAATGATGTCAGAGTAGTGTTCCTGTTCTCAGGAGAGAGTTCAAGAGACAGCTGTGTTCACTCCATCTCTTTACCTCCTTTTTTCATTTTCCCTCCATGACACACGGTCATATTTTAACCGCTGTGTTTTACAGGGTCTGGAAAAGCTGCTGAAGCAGAAGAACTTGAAGTCCCCTTTTCTACTTGATGAGAATGAAGCAGAGAATCTTGTTAAAACTACATAGTGTTTCCAACTGAGGATTCCATCATGTCCAGGGCCAGGCAAATATTAAAGGAATTGAAAGGGATGTTTACAAAAATTTCCAAAATAAAGAAAGAAAGAAAAATTGGGGGTCTGTAAGATTTTTACTCACCAAGGCTGCATTTATCAAAAATAACGGGTGAAAAATTGTAAAATGATACCTTAAAAGAACTGTTTTCTATTTTAATATATTTTAAAATGTAACTTATTCCTGTAACCAAAAACTGACTTTTCAGCAGCCTTTACTCCAGTCTTCAGTGTCACATGATTCTTCAGAAATGTGGGGCTCAAAAACATTATTTCTTATTATTAGTTAAAAACAGTTGTCATTTTAATGATGAATAGATTTTATGATCAACAGAATGTTCAAATAGACAGCGATCTTATTTTACTTATGTACTGTAATTATAAATGTCTTTACTGTCACTTCATCAGTTTAATGCATCCTTACTGAATAAAACTATTCATTTCATTTAAAAAAATCTTACTGACCCCAATTATTGTTACATAATTATATATAATTCTTCAAAAGGTTAGAGCAGAATCAATTCTTTATTTAAAAAATGGTTGTTGTATGATTGAAAAATACAATGTGATGTTTGTATCGCCGCGTAATGCATAGCATATCATTTTTATTTTACTTTACAATAGGAATAAAATCATACCCACTTACAGTTCATATACTGTGTTTTCTACTTTTCTTTTCCTTCGGCTCTGCCTTTGTTTGCATCCCAGTTTGAAGCCGACACGTCACATGACCACAGCTGACCAATAGGAAACGTGACAGCGGAACGGCATCAACAAGCTTATTAGAGCGAGAGAAACACAGCATAGACATAATAAATATTATATCTATGAAACACAGTATCTAAATGAAATACCGCGCTTCGGTTGCGTTACGATGGTATAGTCTGCTGCAGCAGAAAAAGTTCCACGCTAGGGTGAAATATTGTGGTTAAAATGGTTCTTGTTCTGGAATTTGGCGTGCGACGCGTAGGAGCTCACTTGACAGCAGGAATGTAACGTTAACTGGGTTTCTTATGAGCTGGCTAACACAGCTAGCTGCCTATAGAGGTCTGTGAGTCTGAGAATAAGATGCATTTCATTACGAGCACACAGCAGATGCATGCTTAGGCGTATATAGAAGTATGCTAGGATGTTCAAAAATGTGTTCGGATCGGGATTCCTGGTGAGGACCGCTCATGTCGTCTTGACATGGGTTATAACGTTGATTCTCTTCCTCCACGACACCGGTAAGTGCTCCTGAGAGCTGCTGGTTCTGCTGTGAGTATCAGACCTGTTATTGTGTGGCTACAGTAGCTATATGATGTACATAACGCTGCTTCACACCTGTATCTGCATCGCCACTTCCTTTACCAGACAACGTTTAGATGATCTATAACTATTCTGCTCTAGCACACTCCGTTACATTCTGTTCTACTGCACACTCTCACTCTGCTGGAATTATGAGACAAAAAGTTAAATGATGAGATACTAAGTCATGACAAAGTCAAAATGACATAAAAAGTAGAACTTATGATAGAATTGAAATGATAAGATGCTAAAATCAATTATGAAATAAAAAGTAAAAATTATGAGATGAAAAAGTTAACCAAAAATCTTAATTATGGCCAAATTCATAATTCATAAAATTATGAGGTACTAAGTTGACATTGACATATTAAGTCGTAATTATAAGATCAAATCAAAAAATATGACAAAACATTTTTATCGCATACTTTATCTCTTACTTAAGGCTGGAATGCACTACTGTATATGACTTTTGCCACAATTTACTGTCTGATCAAGTTGGCGTTAATTGCCAGTCGTTAAAGCCAGTCTGCAGATTTTGGGAAGTTGACAGATTTGATATAAAATTGCATTTCAGACAAGGATTATATCCATTCTGAGGATATCAAACATTGTAGAACACACACACGATTTTAGAACACGTTGTTTTTATTTGTCATCCTAGCAGCATTTCTGTGTGAGTTTGTGTTCGGAAAGTCTGGTAATGTGTGATCCTCAGTCATTTAGTGTATGTTGCCTATTTTATTTCCCTCTTACTGTTTACATAGTGTATGATGAGTGTATGATGCCTAATGTTTTAAAATCTGTTCAGATGTCATGTAGTGTATTCCAGCCTTTATTGGGCATCCACAGTTCTGCACTATTCCACTCCACTATGTTTTATTTTTTTTTACTCTAATATATTCTATTACTTTTATGTTCTGCTATGCTCTGTTCTTCTCTAATTTCTGCGCCACTGTATTCCACTCTACTACACTATTGTGCTTCCACACAGACCTCCGCAAACAGGAGGAGACGGGGGAGCTCACACTGCCCGTTCTCTTTGTGCTGCTGGTTCTGGTGTCCGTGTTGCTGTACTTTGCAGTTTCACTCATGGATCCTGGTTTTGTCCTGTCTGATGACTGTGACTTGCAGGTCAGTTAATACATGGATTCCCAAGTGTTTTGTCAGCCAAACCCCTGTATGTATGTATATCACAAACCCCCAGCAGTTTGCATGTTTAACACTGATTTTACAGCAAACATGCATCATTTGACTGTATTTCAGTTCACACTTGGTATCGCAGAAGAAACACAGGATATGATGCCACAGACCACCAAGTCCATACGGCTCCGGCGCTGTGGACACTGTTTGGTACAGGTGCGTTGTCACACTGTAAAAAAAATTCCGTAAAATTTACGGTAAAAAAATGGCAGCTGTGGTTGCCGGAATTTTACCGTATAATATACGGTAGCAACGTTTTAGGTTTTGCGGTTTTAACTTAAATTTACAGTTAAATACTGTAATTTCATTAACTGATATAAGGTTAATATACCAACCTATTGAAGTACTGAAATCTGTTTTGTACCGTTGTAATACACTGATAACCACTAAATGCAGGTGGTGATGAGAAAATCACATGATGAATCAAAGCCCATTACAAGCAGCTTTTAAATAATAACATATATAGAAGGTGCACAGTGTCATTCACACAAACGCTAAACACCATCATGGTAACACACATGAAACTGAAATAAAGCAATAAACATTAATTTAACAACATTAGGTGTAATACACAACCCTAATATACAAAACTGATAAGAAAAAACTAAGAAGAAACAGTTATTTCAACAAAAAAACATCAAATTTGAAATGTAACGCAGGAAATTCTGGGAATGTCAATTTATGGTTATTCACTGTAAATTATACAGTATTTTTCACTTCCAAAAATGGTATACTACCGTAAAACTTATGTCCAATACAGTTTTTCACCGTATATAGTAGGGGAATTTACCGTTAACAATTGAACAGGTTTTTACTGTAGCATTTTTACAGTCTTTTACCGTTAAATTCACGGTCATTTTTTACAGTGCACTTATTAAAGATGGACCATATACATAAATATAGAGGTTTTAATGCTGCAACTAAAATGAAATCTACAGTAAATTTTATTTTAATAATGTTTTTTAAGTTAATAAAAATAAAATTTGTAATAAAATATTTAATAAAAAATTTAGATTTAGTTTTTGTCGTTTTCATTGTAGTTTACAATAACCTATATTTATGCGAAGGCAAGACAGCTTAGTTTGTTTCTAATAATGAATCGCTTCTAAAAATGAACCCATGCTTTGACGTAGCAACCCATGAGATCCAAACACTGCCAGACGTGTCAGCATTGTGTGCGGCGCTATGATCACCACTGCCCCTGGATAGAGAACTGCATTGGGGAGAGAAACCACCGCTGGTTTGTGCTTTATCTGGCTGTCCAGCTTGTTGTCTTACTGTGGGGACTGTACATGGCCTGGTGAGTAGAACTTATATATCATGACCTGGGATGTCCAGCAGTGCCAATGGACATAATAGTCCTAAATGTATTAGTTTCCATGATTTTTAACTCTAAAAGGTGATCCCAAACCATTTCATTAAGATTGAAGGAATAGTTCACCCAAAAATGTAAAATCAAAAGTCATTGATAAGCTTTAAGTAAAAGCAAATAAGCTTTCTGACCCTGCATAGACAGGGATTAAAGTGTTCCATCGCTACGACGGATTTCCGTCAGTTCACTTGCCAGAGTGAGTCACTTGCTTCATTCCTGAATGATTCAGCCATTCGAGCGAATCAGTTGAATGAATGACTCCGTGATAAAATCAGTGACTTGCCGCCACCTGCTGGCGGATTTAGTTTCATTTTTAGCATATCATCTCAGTTATTTAAATCATATTTCTCTATTCAAAATTAATCTCCACATGAATTTATGAATTTAATTGCACTCATGCTACCTCTGAGCCTCATTAAACGTCTGAAAATGTACCTACAAGCCACTTTTGTGTTCTTCTGTGCCACCTCTGTAGTACAAATTAATTTATTAATACTAATTTCATATGATTGGTAACTTATGTCTTATTCTACTTATTATATTGTTTTAAATAGAAATTTAAAAAAGCTTATAAACATAAATTTTTTAATTTGACAGATGAAAATGATACCATTACAAAGGTAAAAAGGAATACAAAAATATTAAATGATTTAAATAACTGAAATTATATGCTAAAAATGAAACTAAATCTGCCAGCAGGTGGCGGCAAGTCACTGATTTTATCACTGAATCATTCATTCAATTGATTCGTTCGAATGGCTGAATCATTCAGGAATGAAGCAAGTGGCTGTCTTTCTGAACTGACGGAAATCCGTCATAGCGACGGAACACTTTAATCCCTGTAGACAGCAATGCAACTAACACGTTCAAGGCATTGAAAGATAATAAGGACATCATTAAAATAATCAGGACATCATTAAAATAGTCCATGTGACTATTGTAACGATATCCTTACTACGTTTCTGGGCCTTGAACATGTTAGTTGCATTGCATTGCTGGATGAAGGATCAGAAAGCTCTCGGATTTCATCAAAAATATCTCAGCTTGTGTTTCGAAGATGAACGAAGGTCTCACGGGTTTGGAACGACATGATGGTGAGTAATTAATGACAGAATTTTCATTTTTGGGTGAACTAACCCTTTAAAGCATCCAGAAACAAACATCTTTCATCTGGGCTGAAGAACATCCCACAGTTCAGAGTTTACTTTTAAATCTCGTACAGGTCTGGCTTCAGTCACGTTCCCACCTGGCAGCTGTGGTTGAGGACCAACGGTGTGCTCCTGGGAGCAGCGGCGGTCGTGGCTGTCCTGTCCCTGACCGTGCTTCTCCTCCTGGGCTCTCACCTGTACCTGGTGTCGCTGAATACCACCACATGGGAGTTCATGTCTCGACACAGAATCTCTTACCTCAAGCACTGCGGTGTGGACGAAAACCCTTTTGACCGCGGAACCCTGCGTAATCTCTGGGGCTTCTTCTGCGTTTGGGAACCGTTGGTTTGGGAGCACATGTATTTCAAGCAAAGCAACGATCCTATTTAATTCCCTTGGAGTCACGACTGCTGTGACAAATAACCCATTAGATGGAAGTTGATGTTTTGGTGGAAATCGCTCCAAACTGCATCTGCAGAACATCTAATCTACGTTTTCCTTGTGAATGACCCAATCCATTTTGAAAGCGATTTTTAAATGCATGAACTTTGTAGTTGCAATGATGTTTGATCAAGTGTTATCAAATAGGTTGGAATGACCATTTTTATAGAGCTGTTTTGTGAATATTTTGCCCACATAGAACTTTGACAATTCGTCTGTGCAGATTTTGCATTTTAATAGCAAACGCAGAACAAAAAGCACAAAATCACAGTAGCATTTCACAGCTGAATTGTGGTTTCCCATTAATGCAATACATAGAGATGAGATATTCAAATTTTATATGCTAATTATTTATTATCTTGGCTCTGCTCATATAATCTTTCTTTCATGGTACTAAAAAGCTGTTGGACAAAAGTAATTAAACTAGACAGTCTGTCAGCTTATTTTATAGCAGCAGCAGATGATGTACTGTTACATCAGAAATTATTTATTATATTGAACTTGTGAAATACAGTCAGTTGTATATACATATTTTAAAGAAAATTTACATCCCCTTTTAAGATCCATTTCAGACAGGGTAACAAGAAGTTCATTTTTATAATACAAATAATTTCCTATAGCACTTTATATATCAGTGGTGAAATTTCAATACGCTTGTAATGTGACTTTATAATATTAAATGTACCGATTTATCTCAACATAACAATCAATACATTAAACGAGAGAAATTAACATTAAAAGACTGAATTTAGAATACAAACATAATCAGTACTGTAATGTTCAACATTATAGACATTTTCTTAAGCAAAACTTTATATTTTTATATAAACAGGGCCTTTCCTATGACACATCAGCATCTTAAAGAAAGAAAGATGTAAGTGCATGTGACTCCTTTGACTGTTAGATCTCAGTTCCACAGATCTAAAGTCCCCATAGTGTGACTTTAACAAACATTAGTTAGAATATTCTCAGAATAATATACAGTCATAAAAGCAATAATTGTTTTTGCTTTTACTTTATTTCAGTTTCTTTAAATTGCTTCCTTAAGTCTTGCACTTGAGTGTTTTTCAAGTATCGATATTAATGCTGAGATTTCATGACTGATTTGCGCCATTTTGATAAATTATGCAATTTTTTTTCCCTCATTGTAATATTTTGAAACACCAGTGTTCAATAAACTGAACAACATGGTTACACTGTATTTTATTTCTGAAAATACATTCATCCTGTTCAGTTACACTGACTTAGATATTTAATTATCCTTCATGAGGCTCATAGAAATGGCAAGTTTAATTTAAATATTTTAGTGTCATTTTGTTCACAGTGTAACTTATCAGTAGTAAACCACATTTACAATGATACAATGGTAGTCTAATGTAGTCAAAAGTAAAATACAAACACCTTAAATAACGAACAACGTAATGAGCTTCTGTTAGATGACGCAGAGAGCAAAAACAGTTGAATGTTTCAATTTCAGTTTAGCAAGTTAATGTGCTAAATGCATCATGCTAAGACGTCAAGTAGAATATGCTCGGTCTAATTCAGCAGTCTTCGATTTGTCCAGAGGAGGACTATAAAGAGAAAGGCAGAACAGAACAACCGAAAGTCACAAGATTTCTGCAAGTACAGTAAAGAGCTCGGTTTGGAAAGTTGAGAACTGGTCCAAAAATCAACAAGCAACATTTATCTGGGGCACCAATATGAAATCAAATCCAGATTAGGGACAACCAGAGATCAAAATGTGAGGGTTTAACATGAACATACATCACAGACTAAGCATGGAGGAATTTGCATGATCTAACACTGAGAACACACTCCGATAGTTACAGTCTGGAACTTAAGGAGCTTAAGAAAGAACTGCACTGCATCAGAAATCCTTAAAAGCGGCACAGCATTTCGTCCTTCCATCTCAATCTGACCATCATTATCTGTTCAGCAACAGCGCAAGTATATTTTGGCATTGTAATTTAGTGTAACAGGAAGACTTCTCTTTTTTTTTTTAACAGTATAACCCAACCCAAAAACTAATGTACATTAATAAATGCATGTTTGAATATCAGGGATGGGCAGTTAAAAGCTGAGCAGATCTGAGCTTACTCACAGTTCTGGTCAGGGGTGATCGTATGGTTTTAAAGTCCATCAGGACTGTCTTTGGAGCTTAAGCACACATTTGCAGCCAGTTTCAAGAAAAGCGTACAGCAGCTCTTAAAGGGTGACGCGAGGCCAGCTTCACTCGATTCCACCGCATAACTCAAGGGAGGACGAGAGAATAATTGAATGAAGAAGACAGAGAGAAAAGAAAGCAGAGATTTGATATGTCACAACCTCTTCCGAGGGTAATCGAGTGGAAGTCAGTGCAGGGCCGAGAAGTCAAAGTCTGCAAAGAACTCCTGCTGCTCGGCGGTGAGGAAGAACGGGGTCTGCGGAGGGGTCAGGACAGGCTTCAGGCGTGTGAACTCCTCGTCAAAGTTACTGACGTCTGCTGGGGCTTTAATTGACGGAAGGAAAGGAGGTTTGACTCTTTTGGCCAACAGGGCTTCCCAGTCTAAGCCCTGCGGAGAGGAACGGGGCTTTTAAAAAGAGAATTTAAACCAAGGTAGTTAAAAATTCTTCAGTTAGTGACCGTCACCTGGAAGAACCTGTGTCTCTTCACTTCACTGGCATCTTGCTCTCCTGCTCCCAGTCGTTTTTCAGGGTTCTTCTGCAACAACTGCCATTAAAGAGAAGGAGTCAGAGACTGAGTGTCAACTGGATTTCAATTTGTTTTTCTCCAAGAGCGATAACTTGTTACCTTTTGTATTATAGAGACTGACTCGGGAGACAAAAACCTGGGGTAGCGCACTTCATCGTTCACTATGCTGTCAAACACCTCCTCCTCATCATCACCGGGGAATGGAGACTGGCAGCCACAAGATAATACATTACACTACTGTTCAAAGGATAAGATTTCTTAATGCTTTAAAAAAAGTCTCGTATGCATTTATTTGACCAGAAATATAGTAAAAATATAACATTGTGAAATGTTATTACAATTTATATTAATTGATTTCTATTTTAAAATGCAATTTATTCCTGTGATGGCAAAGCTGAATTTTGAGCAGTCATTACTCCAGTCTTAAAGTGCCCCTATTATGGGTTATGAAAGGTTCATATTTTGGTTTTGGGAGTCCCCAACAACAGGTTGACATGCATGCAAGGTCAAAAAACACTTTCATTGTCTTATAATATGCATTTATTTTTACCTTATTTGCTCAACGACTTCCAAACGATTTGTTTAACGATTCATTTTTCCAAACTCCTCCTTTGCGTGACGCTAATCTGCAGTGATTGGTCCAATTGGTCTTATTTTCATTTCATCATGTCTGTAATGCCTGATAAAGCAGCGTTTGTGAGCGCAGTGCTGCTTTGTGTACAGCGTTACCGGGGAAACAGCTATTTTTACTGCTCCAAAAGCAGCACCTAGTGGCCAAGAATGAATTTGCATTTTCATTCAGACCAACTCGAAAAGACCAACAAGTGGGCAGGCAATATGTTAATGTTTCATGTTGACGTCAACATGAAACGGCTTGGGATTCGCTTTAAAAAAACGACTCGTTTCAATGATTCAGAGTCAACTCTTTCTTTTGAGAGACAATACTTTAGTTTATACACGGTGCACTTTCAAATGTAAAACTTGGCAGGATGTTTTCATTCACTTCGCTGTTTTACACACTGCACGAAAGGTCATTTTCAAAAATCCATAATAGGGGCACTTTAAGGTATTCCTTTAGAATTCATTTTAGTATGCTGATTTGGATGAAAGATAAACTCTTATCTTTTTTCATGGTTCTTCGATGAATAAAAACAGCATTTATTTACTTATGTACTTTTGTAACATTAGAAATGTCTTTACTTTCAATTGTATTCATCCTTGCTGAATTCTTTCCAAAAAAAAAAAATCGTAAATATGCATAAACATTATTACAGTATATAGCAACAATTTAGTAAAGCTGTATTGACCAGGACTGACCTCTCCCACTAGCATCTCATAGATGAGCACACCCAAACCCCACCAGTCCACTGCACGGGTATAGGTGCTGTCTGTCAAAACCTCCGGGGCCAGGAACTCTGGGGTGCCACAAAAGGTTGACGTACGGTCGCCATATCCCATACCTGAATGGCGGCAAGACTGGGTTGATTCTCTGCTCAAATATTGTCATTTGAGATGAACAAATAAAATCTATGAGAGACATGGTATTTTGAGAATTTACCTTCTTTGCAAAGTCCAAAATCTGCAATTCTCACAAAGCCATCTGAATCCATTAACAGATTGTCCAACTTTAGGTCCCTACAAAGAGGAAAAAGAGAAATCGTACATTAGATCACATGTATTATTTCATACACGTATGTAATAGGGAATTCATTAATAGTTAAGTAATATTAGAAATAATAGTGTAGTTACCTATATACAATCCGGTTTTGGTGCAGAAACTCCAGGCCTAGTAATACACATGCAGAATAAAACCTGCCAGAAAAACCCTTGGTTTACAGTCACAGCCAGAGGAAAGTGTCAATGCTAAAAATATACAAAGCTAAAAATATTCAGCGTGTGCGTCTGAGAACATGTGAAGTGAACAAGTGTAGCACTTATGTAAATGCTCTGTAATTAAACAGCCTGTGTGTGTGTGTGTGTGTGTGTGTGTGTGTGTGTGTACCTAGCCTGGCGTTCAGAGAAGATGCTGTTGTGGATGTGGGTCATCAGGTCTCCTCCAGGTGAATATTCCATCACAAAGCACACATGGTCAGGTGTCTGGAAGCACCCATACAGGTTCACCAAGAAAGGATGACGGGACACATTGATGGTCTCAAAAATTCTCTTTTCACATATTAAACTATAAAAGAATGAAATGAATTCACAATATTATACAAGCCAAATACAGTTGGAAGTGTTTACTATTGTCGGTTCCAAGGAACTACAATTTCTCAATTTTCACACAGACCCATTCAGACTATGTTAGTGCTTTGCACAAGAAATATCCACGGAAAACAAATTATCCATAACCCATTCATGGTGCGCAAGAAGACATTTCTGATACAGAGATACAGAATATCACCTGTCCACTTCATCCCGGGTCACAACATCCCCTTTCTTCAGGGCTTTGATGGCATATAGTTTCCCAGTCCTCCTGAATTCAGCCAGCAGGACCTTTAATGAGAGTTGACAATGACACTGAGCCAACGGCACCATCCAGAGTTATCCGATTACAGCAAGGAAGGACAGCTGCAGTTTTACCTTTCCAAAGTGCCCTCTTCCTAATACAGAAATGCAATTGAAGTCATCCATCTGCATCCCCTCTTCCCTCCTGTGAAACAGAATATATACACCATACAGTGAGACTGAGAAAAAGAGCAATTACAGGGAAGAGAATCCCAGATTAATTTCACTATCGTTATATGTGCGACGTATTACAGGTTGAAATTTAAGACCCAAGGTTAGGGATCATTCAGATTTAGATTTGAGCAATAATAATAATAGCACTAATAAATAACATATTGACTTACTGAGGTGTAGGCTGGGACACAGGCCTGCCTTTGAGAACTTGGTTATCCTCAGAGGAATTCACTCTGGCAGGAGTCTTGGAAATGTGTCCCAAAACACATAATTACAACACTAACTTGACCAGAGCAATACAGAACTACACATTAAAAAGCAAGTGTTTGTCTACAAGACGTACCCCAGAAAGTGATGCGTCAGTTGTGGGGTTCTGTGCCAAGTGGAGGCGCGGGGGCTTGGCAGGACGCTCCTCACTGAAATTCAGTTTAACAACTGCAGAGTCTCTGTGATAAACAGCCACAACGCAGAAAGAGAATCACGTTTTTATACAGATTAATGGATATATTTTCCTCAACCAAACCCCAGGGACACCTGCGTATGTCTCACCCAGAGGAAGGAGGTGTGGACACAGTTGGAGGGGACATGGGCTCAGAGCCGAGCAGAGGAGGGCTCAAGGCGGTGACAGTGCTGTTGCAGGGGGGCAGCACGCTCATCATTAGACGCCCCCAAGTGGCAAAGTTCATATTCATCTGTGCTGCCCGTAGAAAATTTTTCCCTGAGAGAAACATTAAATCAGCTATTTAATATGCAAATAATATGACGCATTAGTCTGAAACATCTTTTGTAAACACTGAACTTGTCAGCACAGCATAATGTCACACTTGAGTTTTGAAAACAATCAAGAGAATACGAGAGAGATTATGGCAATCGCTTATGAGTCACAGACCCTCTGTGAGGACAATAGAGAAATTGTGAGGTCAAGCACACCTTTTTCTTTTGAGAAAATCCGTTTCTGTCGTTGTAGTTTAGGATGTCGCTCAATGACAGGATTGTTGAATCTCACCTGAAAGCAAACCACACAATGAATAGCTCACAATATGCACTGTGTGTATTAAAGCATCAACCTCTGCAGAACATACTAAATGAATGAAATACATAGCAGTTGTAAACTGTAACCTCACTCGGCATTTGTGCTGTAACATGATTTGGCACTAGGATGAAGGTAATGAGAGGTTATCTCACCTCTGTGAACAGTGTGCCCTGTGGCTCTAGATAAAGACACATGCCATGCCGCTGGTTGTCCAGAAAATCTTCTAAACGCAGGAACTTCACGGCACACAGGGACCTCCAGTCTCGCCAGTACACTGCAATCTCCAGCTCCCGAGACTACAGGGGTCAAAGGTCATGTGAGGAGCAGAAAGAAAAAAGAAAAGAAAAAAAAACACTCTCAGATATCAACTGTAGTTCTAGCTCTTGCCCCTTTACGCCTCATAATGGTCCTTACATCGCCATTTGAAAGCCTGGAGTTGGTAATTTTTAAGTCTCATTTTATTTAATGTGAAATATTACAATTTTAAAAAATCATGTAAACAACATATATTATATTAGTTT